GGGGAAATGCAAAAAGCGCGAACCGCACCTAGGTTATTTGAGGATAATGGGAATACGCAACCTATTTCATGCATCCTGCCGTGCCTTGTCCGGTCGGTGGTATCGACGTTGTAATTCAAGTATTGATCGGACGTCAGAAAGTAGCATTTCGATCTACCGTTAGCAACGACGACCTTCCTACCGAAAAAGTACAAAACCCTAAATAGAAAGCGGTGTTTTTGACTCCTATCGACACAGCACAATTACTATTGAAAATAGAAATCGAATCTACCGCATAATGAAGTGTTGATTATTTCCCAATTAGTTGCTTTTCATATCGAGGTATCTTACACGTATTTCGCAATGATAGAGACGTTAGTCTAACGGCAAGTAGCCCTCCAAATTGAAAATTAGTTCTCAGTGACTGTATATGAGCAATACATTCTAGACTACGGCAACTAATTAGGGAATAATTAGCGCCTAATTAGGCGATAAATTCGATTTTTATTTCTAGAAAAGACAGAGGATGTGGGAGACGAAGAGAGGAGAAAGAGAGAGAGAGAGAGAGGGGGGGGGGTAAAGAGAGAGCAGAGAGAACGAAGGAGAAGAGAAACGAAGAGACCGTCGTGGAGGTGGTGGTAAGTCGTTTTGTGTCTGCAACTCGTCTAAATATATACGATCTTCTCCTCGGCGGTGCAGCCTTTCTCAAAGGAACGGGAGAGACGTGAACGAGCTGTCTCGATTTTAGAGAAATCTCCGTGCATTTCGCGCAAGAAGGACGGAAAGGTAAAAACTCACGCGATACGCGCTCGATTCAATGCAGCTCAGACCGGATGTCGCATTGTGGACTCGCGAGACCTACCCTGTTCCTTCTTTCGATAAGTTATTTCAGTTGCTCTTCACACGCGATACAATTTTTTAATCGATACACCATCGATCGTCCAACTCTTTGATCAAAGGTCGGTTGGATCTTCTGCGGGTTCTTTCGTTTTAATTTAGATCCTCTTGGATATATGTATATATCTTCTGTTTTATGTAATACATTTATCCACTTAATTTAAAGTAAATTTTCAACGCGACTTTCAACGTGACTTGACATTTTTTTAACACGACGTTAATTTTATTGCCTGGAACTGATTCGGATGGAATCACGAATTCGCGCTCGCCTTCTTTTCCCATTCTCGCTTTTCTCCCGCTCGAACGATAGATCACGCGATAATCAAGCGTATCCGGAAGTGAAGTAACGACGACTGTGCGAAGATTATGACGCGTGCGGACTGTGCGTCTCGCGCATTGCGACGTGCGGCAACGCCATCGTTTTGAGGACCTACTTTGAGGAAGAAAAAAAAACGCATTGGCTTACTTCTTTAATGCACAACGGTGGCGTTGTCTTCGTGGCTGCAGCCAATTAGTCGCGAATCTTGTACGGAGGATCGGCTCCGCTCGACGAGGATCGCGAGCGGGCGAGCATGCGCGAGAAAAAGGTTCGATCGCGGCGCGGCAGCGAATGTGAATAAAGTCCATTTACGTGAAATTTTAAGGCTGTTCTTGAACATACTGATTTCCGAGGTAATCTGCCATCGTGCACAGAGAGTTGGGTAGAAATTTGCCGAGCACGCGAATACCGAGAACGGTGCAATGAGAGGCGTAACGCGCGCTTAATCAAACGCTATTTTGCACCGACAAAATCCTGATGCTGATCGTCCTTTCTTCTTATCAACTCGAATTAATCCTTTCCGCTCCGCAGATTCTTATATTGGCATTGAATCTTCACTAATACGCATATCGCCGAGTTAAATGAAAAGAATACGTTTGTCAGCATTCGCTTATGGCCCGACTTTATTCTAGCAGAACTTGTTATCGTTACTATCAAATTGAGTTGGCACGGAATAGACTGTGTAAAAGTCTCGGGACAAGCTAGCTTGGAACTTGGAGAACCAAGGGTTAATGTCTACGCGCAAACCGGCTCTTAAAAGAAAAAAAAAAAAGAGAGCGCATTAAAATTCACACGTACAAAGTAAGAGGAGGCTCGCTCGATCGGAGGGAACGGAAACTGATGAGAAATTAATGGGAAAAACACGAGGGAATGCTTTACGGTCAGTTTGACAGACGCTGTTTCGCGATCATGATAAATTATCAGTACTGAGGATCACTCGGCGATGAGACCACCATCGAACGAAGTATCGTGTATTTACAATTCTCGCGCGTTATAAAGTAAGGTGGTATCATTATCGGCATCTGCGATGTAAAGAAGAGGGAGAAAAATCTCCCGGGAGGAGACATCGCTCGCCAGATATACCTAACTAAAAAGGCAAACGTGTGCGCCTAATGTTCACATCTGCGACATCGAGTCACGCACGAGACCCGTCGTTGGTCCACTGTCGCCACCTCGGCGATAAATACTAATTGAGATTAGCATCAGCGACCGTACGCCGCGCTCAACAGGTGTGTCGCACGGAGTCCTTGGGCCAAGGAAATACGATCTGAGCGAAAAATTCTCGAGAATGAAAGAAAGAAAGGGAGAGAATAACCGGCGATTCAATGGGCGATATTAACTTTGCACGTAGCGAAGTTGCCGACGCTAAATAGTTGCTCTTCGATACGCGCTGATGTGCATCAGACATATCGCAGATCCCCGTCAGATGTTCCCGCGCTATCAGATGAAAATACTTGGCGAAGATAATTTCCTGAAATCGTTGACATCGTCGCGCGCAACGTCGAGATATTTGCAAATCGCGTTTCAACGGGATAAACGGGCAATGCTGCTTCGCAACTCGAGACGTTTCAGGTTCCTGATCGAACAGACATTTTGCGCGTTTAAATCAGAAGTATCAGATACGCGACGAAGTCGGTGACGAAAGAGATGGATAGATGTTTGGGGATATTTTAAAAATCGTTTAGAGGTTCTCGTCTGTTCGCGACACAAGGATTCGGCATTCTTCCAATATGAACAAATTTCGCAGGTAGGCATTTATCCTTCATTTACGTTTTTAGACTCGTGAGTGCAATTCGCCTAATTTTGCCGTTAATACCAAGAAGTCGATAGCAAACGCTTCCAAGCGATATTCCTTGACATCGGAAGAGCGCCAAATTCTTGTGTTGTGAGTATAAAGTTTCGGAGAAAGACCCATTTATTTCCGCGGATTTCTTCGGTTTTTGTTCCAAGGGTACAAAAATTCGTTTAGAAAAACACACGTGTGTTCGATTAAAAACATATTTAAACAAATATAGAAATGATATAGACCTTTAAGGAGCGAAGTACGAATAGTTTAGTGCTATTAGATATTAATATATTATCTTATTAATATTAATATAATTGTTGAAGGATATAGTGTTCAATATTAATAAAGTAATATTAATAGCACAAAACTATATGTGCTTCGTTCCTTGAAGGTCATTATTTCTATACTATTTGAATATCAGAGGAGCTTTCTCACTATCGTAAGCCTATTTACTTTTTTCTGTAAAGAAGGTAAGAATCTAAAAAAAATCAGCCAAAAAATTAAGAAAAATGTTTTTTTTTCAAAGCTTTAAAATTACTGTTCAAGACGAGAACACATCTTGTTAACGAGATTTAAAATATGTCGAAGCAATAGATATAAGACGAAAATAATTAGAACACATGAAAACAAAATTAACGAAAAGTCTGTGCAAGAAGAACGAAAAAGAAGAGCCGATAAAAAGAGGTGAACATCGCACTGAGAAACCCATTTGATTGACTCGAGCAAAGTTCTTGTTTGGGTATGAACAAACAAATATTTTGGTTGTGGGAACCAAAGTTTTGGTTCTCTGAGACGAAAATGAAAAAAAGTTTGGTTCAAAGGAGGGCCGATTTTCGAATTTCCAACTGTGGTTCTCACAAGTATAAGCACTAGTTTGCTTATATTCAAGGAAGAATTTTGTTTGAATCAACTAAGCGGGTTCCTCGGAGAGTCCTGCACTCTCTTACCCTCGAGTCCCTAGACGCGGTTCCTTAATTCCACGATTCTTATCGTCGATAGAACACGACGAAACGACGAGAAACTTTGCCAAGGACGACCGTTCCTCTCTCTCTCTCTCTTTTTCAGACTCCCCCCTCCTCTCTCTCTCTCTCTCCCTCTCTCCGAATAATACCGCGAATTCGAGCACGAGTTAGCCTATAATAAATCCGATATTGCAGATGCAAAGCGAGTTTACGGGCGAGCGAGTGCAGACGAAGGCCACGTGACAGCGCGCGGCAGCGGTTAACGAGCGAGATATAAACACGCGAGAGATCGAAGACGGAGTTTACACGGTGAAAGCGGGTAATTTCGTAGGCACCGCGTCGTCGCGACTACCGGAATCAGCGCGCGAGTCACCGTCGCCGAAAAAAGCCTCGTTACAATCGGCGGTGATGCTACATCGAGGATACGCGGGGGACGCACACACACGGGAGCACCAATATTCTTGCTCCATTTTTTCATGCGCGTCTCTCTCTTTCTCCCCCCNCCCCCCCCTCTCTCTCTCTCTTTCTCTCATTATGTAAGACCGCACTCGAGCACCATCGGAGAAGCACGCGAGCACCATCGGAGTCACGTCGCTGTCTAACCTTTAAAGGACAAGCGAACCACTCGCGATACCGCCGGTGAAATCAAGCGCTAAACGTAAGGCGATCGCCTCTCATCGAAAATCCAAGACCACCACCGCGGTGACGAAAACAACAATAGGGTCCGTTCTCTTTTTCAGCTGAACTGGGTTACATTTTTTTTTGCTTTTGCATAGAAACAAGCGTGTACAAGCCTAGCGTTGAAGGGAAAAAGAAAAATATATTGCACACACACACATATACACACAGAGTAGAGCTGGTTCAGCTGGAAGAGAAAAAAACCGGGTCTAATCACGACGACGATCGCGTCTTTCCCGTTTCTGACGTTTTCCCGGTTACGCCGGTCGATGCGAGAATCGTCGACGCTGAATATATATATGCACGGTTGGAAGAAGCAAGAGGAAGGAAAAAAAGGAAGTACCTCCCGAGAAGTACACAGAGAATGAGAAAGACTTACCGGCGGCACGGTGCGGCCTCCTCGCCCAGTCGTCCTCTATCAAAGGTGCGACCTGCCGCGCGTGTAACGTCAACACGTTCAACAGGAGGCAGAGCGCGACGGCGAGTAGGATCGGTAACATCAGGCCACTGTGAAGCTGCATCTTCGCGAGTTTCGGCGTATCGCGACCACCCTTTTCACCTCTCTCTCTCTCCTCCTCCTCCTCTTCTTCTACCGTTTTATCAGTCGGTTACTCTCTCGCACTCTGTTCTGGCACTCGCGCGCCTGCCTTTACGCATATAGCACGCTTCTCCTCCTCTCTCTCTTTTTCTCTCTTTCTTTCTGTCCTCTCCGCAGTCTCCCTCTCTCTCGCTCTCCTTATTCGTATAGTCGTAGGTACTAGTCTATTAACGACCGTTCACTGCACAAAACTTTCTGCACTGTCTCACAGCACGTAACCTGTTCTTCCGTTGGCGGCGGCGGGCCGCGCGAAGAAGATCAACGCCNAGGAAGAGGGCTCGGCTTTTTTTTTTTTTTTTTTTTTACCTAAAAAACGTTATTATACCACGGTGAACGCGCGCGCCAACCTCCGCGTCTCCCTTCGTCTTGCGCGCGCGTCGCGCGCGATAATAGTGCGTGCGCGAAAGTTCAAGAGACGAAGTTCCTCCTCTCTTTCTCGCGCGCGCGCGCACGCGAGCGAGCGAGAGAAAGAGAGAGAGAGAGAGAGAGAAGAACTTTCTGCATTACCGCGCGCGCGACTCCGCTCGCTCGCTTGCACGTAACGAGAAGCGAACTGCGAGAAAGCCTCGCTCAAACGATATCGCAACGCGGACAGGCCGCTCGCGCACACTCGACTCGAGCGCGCGCGATCTCTCGATTCACGTTCCTCTCGCGCCTCGCACTTTCGTCGCGCCGCCGGTCTCGAGCGCGCGATACTGCGCGCACGTTTTATAAGGTGGTAGGTACACGCCGCGCGCGCGCGCGCGCGAGAGCGCACCGAGAGAGAGAAAGAAAAAGATAGAGAGAGAGAGAGAGAGAGAGGGACATACGAGAGAGCAGAGCAACGACGGCGTCGTCGGCGCGTCTCTCTCTCTCTCTCTCTCTCTCTGCGCTCTCAGTCCGTCCTCCTCCTTTCTTGCTTCTCTCCACTATCCTCCTCGTCGTTTCGTCTTGTTTCTCTTTCTCTCTCTCTCTCTTCCGCCCTCTCGCGCCACCCGTGTATTACGTCTCTGTTATTCTCTTTACCTCCCGGCCGTACGTACTCTCGCCTCTCCTTCACGGAGTAACGCCGGTGTGCATCTGACGCGACGGCGGCAGCGACGACGACGAACGACGGCGGCGGCGGCGGCGGCACTGAATCCGTCCTGCGAGTGCGCACGCTAACCGTATCGGATAGCAAACGTCCGACTGACTGACTGACTGACCGCGAGTCGTCTGGTGAACCCTGGTGGGAGGAGGAGGAGGAGGAGGTCCTCCCGCGCGAGCGCGAACGCGGCCGCGCCGCCGACTGGTGTCCTCCTCGATCGCGATCGCGATTGCGATCACGGAAACCGCGTTGATTTACGCGCGACCGAGTTTCGTCCGCGATACCTCGAATTCCGACGCTCGCTCGCGCGCCACGCCTAATATGCATGTTACATACGTACACACGCATGCATACGCGCGCCCATGTGCGTATGAAAATACATAAATTATACATTTTCGCGTACGTTCATACCACCGTATTTGATTGATTGATTGATTTTTATATATACACGCGCGCGCGAAACGCTTTTCTCCCGCTACATATTTTCGCACGGATCCCTCCCGACGACGACGGAGATAGAGACGACGGGCGACCCAACGCGCGACGCCTCTTGCCAACGGAAGCGTCGCTCTGTCTGGCGTCGCGCTCGCTCCTCTTATAATAGTCCTCAGCCACGTGCTATACCGCGTTCTCGAACGACCGAAAGACACGGGGAGAGCGCGAAGTTGCGCGACGATCCGACGGCGATTATCGGATTGGACGGACGTTATCTGCCGCACCGCGTCGTTATCTTCTCACCGAAGTGCGAATAAAATATGTGTGTGTACGAATGACAGCTCTCTCTCTCTCTCTCTCTCTCAGTCAGGTTGCTGAGGCGGACCGACCTCGTAGGCACGCGCTTCCGGTAGGTTCGCAATGACAACTGACCGTAGCCCGGCTCGGAACCCCGGCTTTTATATGGGGATAGAGGCGGCTGGCTGCTACGCTGCTGGACCCGACTGCGCGTCGCGTCGAATCACACCGGCGCGCCGCGCCGCTCCCCGCTGCGGCGCGCCGGGCCACCGCGCAGGGGTTAATCGAAGAGAACTTGTGTCGTCCGGTGTGTTACCTCGCGCTCGGGTCGCGGTGGGTGTAGCGGCCGCAGCAAATCGCGCTCTCCGTCGCCGAAAGGTGTGCGAGGCGACGCCACACGTGTGGGTGCGTCATCCTCCTCGTCTCCGTCGCCTCCTCGTCGCGCCGCGTCGAACCATGCCGTGGCGAACCGTGGCGAACCGAACCGCGATAGATACCACCACCATCGCCATCACCACCACCACCACCGCCACCACCACCACCATCGCCGTCACCACCACCATCGCCACTGCAAAAGTCGTCATCCGTTGCGCCGCTACTGCGTTGCTATTCGTTGCACGAGGGCAGACGAGCCCAGGTATCGCGGCGCGCGTGCCTGCGCTCGATTGTCGAATATCGCCGAATTACCGGCGTCGTGTGCACTGAGAACGAGATTTCTTTGGATTTAATCGAGTTCCTTTCTTTCAGAGAGAGGGAGAGAGATTGATCTTGTTTTGGAATGGAGCGAATGAGCGTTTGATTCAACGGGAAAACAGGATCGCTCGGTTTCTCGGACAAAAATATTTTTACGTCGAATAACTTATTTCTTTTGTGTTTTCACTCAAACATCGTAATATGGTTGAAACAAGCAATAAACTGTTTGAAAGTATTAAAGAACTTCTTTTTATTTCAGTGGAGCGATATTTAACCCTTTGCACTCGAGGGCTCCGAAGCGGAGTCATTTAAAATTTGTCTTCAAACTCTTCAAACTCAAATGCAAATAGCAAGAGCGGAATATCCTATACACAATAGTTTTTACGATTTGTCTTTGTCCTTATGTTATGAACTGAAAGTTATTTGCATTGTCTCCATAGCGGAGCCCTCGAGTTTGAAGACAAATTTTAAATGGCTCCGCTCCGGAGCCCTCGAGTGCAAAGGGTTAATGTGTAATAAGTTTTTTTACTGAAAAAAATGTTATTTCTTCCAAATAATACTGTTTTTCCTATCAAACAACATGGTTTACTCTAATGAAATAATATTTTTATTTTAACGTAATGATATTTGATATTCAATTATGTTATTTACATTAAACAAATCCAAGTTGAATAAACACGTATACTAGATCCAAAGAAACCTTATTCGCTGTGTATGTTGTACCATTCCCTGAAAACGGAAAATTACGATTTTCAGTTTTATACCGTAATCCATAAGGTTGAAAATCGCAGAAACAATTCTAATTACAACGATATAACCTTATCGTTATATAACTGCTTTAACTTATATATAGATATATAAAGCTGAAAGTCATCTAATTCTCAATTTATGGAATAATACAGCATGACTGTATGCTTGTTTTTGCCGGTTTGAATATATTGCGAATCTGAGTTTGTTATTGTTATTCGCACTCGGGAAAAAAATAGTGTTGCATCAATAGAATTTCCGCAACGTTCGTAATTGGAGAGTAAATCTCCTTGAATCAATAGCAATATGTGGAAACTAATAGTGAATTCGATCACCCGCCGTACAGGATTGGTACGCACCGAAAATCGCTACACATGTGTATATTATATATATCCAAATACAATGGCATAACATAGCCATTTTGACAATGAAATAGTTAATGCATATTCTGTTAAATAACTTGACAATATTATCATTAAATATTTAATCGTTTAAAATGTTTTTTTATTTAAATAACCGTTTCACGTGCAACTTTCAGCACTCACCAATCCGGTGCAAGTGGATCGAATTCACTGTAATACATCATGCAATATTTCAATAATTCAAGTATTAGTTTCAATAACATTGCTATTGAATCAAGAAGACGTCCTAATCACGCGCGCTGTTGGAAGTTCTATTGATACAATAATATGTTTTTCGTGCACAACATATAACTGAAGCTCTTTTTATACGGTTTTTTGCCATTCAAATCACAACGCACGTGTTAATTTAGTACGTTCAAACGTGTTAACACGTTTGTGATTTAAACAGCGAAAAACATGGAAAAGGAGCTTCAACCAAATTACATGCTTATGAGTATAATGATGCACTTAGGTTTGCAATGTGCTTCTTCGTCTATGCGTTTCAACATGCATCCAACGCATCCAATCCAATGAAATTGTCTTGAGAATTACTTAGAAACGAATTTTTCTATCAGACGTCGATTATGTTCCGAAGTGCGTCGAGAGAAATGTTCGAATCTAATTGTAAACGAATGCACTTGATTTCAATTCCATTTGAATATTTTTGGAAAACGTTTATGATTCGGACGACTCAAATTTTGTAAATAGTTTTCTTTCAGATAAGAAGAAGAAGTATCGCATTTCCCGCGGCTTGAAACTCAATAAGCATCAACTAACAATAACATTACATCAATGTTGTAATTTCAATGTTGTAACATAAGTGTAATATAATATGCGTCATATATACCAGTTTATATTATTAAGTGAGAAATCACAACAATTACAACATACAACAATTGTTGTAACGTTACTATTGGTTGGTGTTTACTGGCAAGTTTCTTCCGAAACAATTACGGGCAGATTTTTGTTCCGCCGGAAAATTCGTACAACGGTGTCCGAGTCGCAATTCCGCCGAAGAGGTGTGAGAAATTAAGCGACTCTGAAACGTTTCTCGATGCAGCCGGTATTCCCGAAGTTGTCGATCATTATTCTCTCAACGCAACGTTTGAACGTAGCGATAAATATCGATAACGACGAATCAATAGTTAGCGCGCTATGAATGAAAATGCACGTTGCATATGCATCAGTTTCCATCGAATTCGTTGATTCACGGCGTGTAATCACCGCCTAGTTTCGACGACACCTCAACATTTTGCCGGGCCGAACCATGCCGGAGATTTCTAATCGTTCGCGTCGCGAACTGAATACACGCCTCCGCATTGTGACAGTCGATTATTCTTGCTAATCTGATATTTTGACAATCTGACATCATGTAGCGTGATATCACATGCGGACAGGATGCGAACGATTGGAAACCACTAGAATATTCCGGCCTGGTAGATGCTGAGACTTTATTGAAGCTCGGTTTGCGTCAATCGCATACCTAAAGTTTGCGGTTATATTGAACGTTGACGTAACAAAAGCACGCATTGTGCATATATTCATTTCGCGATGCGTCAATACAAACGCGTTTAGCGATGAACGGTAGTGTTTAATTGTAGCAATTAACTCAATACTTCACACTACGATCCTCTGATGGTATTGTGCATTTTATTAGCTCGATTTATAAAATACGTAAATTAGCTGCGAAAGAGGGATAAAAACGCACCCACATGTACACACTCACACACACATACACGATCGTACATGTGTATATGCGTAGCCTCAAGGCGAGAAAAGAAAAATGATAAAGAGAAGGAAAGAAAGAGGCAGAGAGAGAGAGAGAGAGAGAGAGAGAAAGAGAGAGGGAAAAAGAGGGAAGAAAAATGACAAGACGGCAACGTCGTCGCGTTTGAAGACGAGAGAGAGAGAGAGAACTTCGCAGATTCCGCATGAGATACCTGCGGCATTCTTCGTCCCGCAACAGGGGAATTAAGCCGGATGTACATTCGTCGCGGACGACGTTCGCTGTATTCGTTTCCAAGAAAAATATCTTCCGCCTGGAAATGAATTTTACGGCAGATCTTGTCCGCGATCACAAGAGAGTCCGCTCGATCCCTCCGAGAGACGACGGGCCCTCTTTATGGATGGCTCTCCCTTTCTCCGTTTTCATTTTATTGCTCGGAGAGACGGAGTTATTATTATTTTCCTTAACTAATAAGCTTATCTTATTCGCGCGCGCACGTCCGTTTCGGAAAGGAAAGCTAACGAAAGGGCGGTGGTCATTCAAGTTTCCACATCCGAGCCCACGTACGCCCAATGACAATTTCTCCCGTGATAAAGGAATCACCCTCCCGCCACGCCGCCGGTGTAGCGTGATGCGGCGCCGCTTTTATCAGCGGTGCGCATCTGACGAGGACCGAGATGTTAGCACTCCCACGCCGGTTAGGCCGTCCATTTATCCCGCTCGACGTACAAAACTCTCCACCCTTTGCCTTCGTTTGATATCTTCGATCGCAAAATAAAACGAAACGCACACGTACGACTTTGATCTTCCAGAGAGAGAGAGAGAGAGAGAGAGTTAGGGGCAAGGAGTAGAGAGAACTCCCAATTTCGCCGACGATTTAAGGCTTTATTGTACGGAGTTTGGGACGAAATAAGAAGAAATCGCGCGATCGCGCCTCGCAAAATCATTAGTCTCCATTGTAGGATTTTACGATGGAATCCTGACGGTGCGTCTTGCATTTTCATGGCACAGGTATATACGTATATATATGGTATATGTATATGTGTATATATATATATATATATATATATGTATATATATCGCGCGCTCACACGGCCTGGGGTAGAAGAAGATACAGTTACGAGCGAAACGCGCATAGTTAATCGAATGTACGGGATAAGGAGAGAGAGAGAGAGAGAAAGACGGAGCGCAGACGGCAGAAAAGAAGCAAAGGGATTAAGAGCGATTCTAAAGAATAGTCTGGTCGCCGACTATTCATAATCAAATATGACAAATCTAATAGATTCCCGGCGATATGGTTGTCCACGGCGTGAATTGCGAAAACGGCGTGAGGGGAGAGGAAGAAAGAGAGAGAGGGAGGGAGGGGGAGGCGATCTAAAGAGAGGAAACGAGGAAAAAGAACAAGTGGCTTCATTCAAAGCACAAGGAACGGGATGTTGCAGGACGAACAGTCCTTTACGTCGCGGGCGCCGTCTAGTCCTTTTCAGTCGCGTTTAACAATAATATTCCCCGAACCCTCGCTGCGAAGGAGGAACCCCGACAAATAAAATTCGTTCACGAACAAACATGCTCGTGCATAATGCTGTTGTCGTTACGCTGCTGGAATTTGGAGATAGTATTTTCGACGACGTATTTAGTCTCTTCGGATACATTCTAACGCGAGAAACCAGACAACTTTCGGCAAAGACGGCCGAAAACGGAGGAACACCTGTAATATACGCATATATATATATATTATATATATATATATAATATATGTATGTACATATGTGTGTGTACGTGTGTGCGCATGTATTAACGCCTTGACCGTTGAACCAGTTGTGACTCGCGTGTATCGAGCGGAGAGAAAAACATTAGAGTTAGATTTGCGATGAAAAAAAGGGAAAAAAATCGCGAAGAATACGTCTATGTGACGCGACACGAGCGCGTATAAGCATAACGTCAGGCTGGCGTCGAGTTTGCTTGAGAGTCGACTTTAAACATCTCGCGATCAGCGCGAGTTTATACACGGGGACAGAGGAGATAAGGAGATACGTCGCGAGTGTATTTAAAAGAAAAATTAAAACGCACGTTGCGTTGCGGCGATACACTTCCTCTGTGCGTGTCTCCCGTTCTAACGGCAGAGTTAATATTTCTGTTTTCCTCCTTTTATCGCAGCTCTCATCGGGACGAAACGTGAGAAAAATCGTAGTCGCGAAACAGTGCGACCCGATGGCGATTTTGCCAAAAGGAGAAACGCCCGAAGCGACAAGCCGAATGGCCGATTCTCGTTTCGCACGCGCGAGAGCTGTATACTGATTTCGTGAAATCTAAATTAACGCGGATAAGCATATTTATTATATATCTCGCCACGACGAAAT